CCTATTCAGTGCTATTGATCTATTTGACTATCCTTATGACAACTCTACATATTCTTAATTATTGTACCGAGAAAACAAATTTTTACCGGGAAGAATTATTCTTCCAAATATCTTCTTTTTTTTTAATTGGTCTTCTAGTTTCTGTCTTTGTACACAGTTTATAGAATAATTTCATCTGTATTTATAAAATATTATAGACTATATTTTAATATGAATTGTTTTAAACCTGTATATCAATTTGGAGTAACTGATATCTGTACTATATTGAATTAAACATCATGAACTTGATATTTCTCCATTTAATTAATGGAGAATCCTTTCATCACCATTTTGCAGTTTTCAGTATACAAGAACTTTCATGTTTGCTACATTTATACTCTATTTCATTAATTTAGTGATTATAAATGGAATTCTACTTTCAAATTCAGTATCAGTTTGTTCAGTGCTAAAATGGTCAATTTTGTATTATTTCCTTAAGTTCCTTGACCTTGCTGAATTCACCTAATATTGCATTGCATTGCATTATACAAACCAAAACAAATTCATTACCATCAAGTCAGTGCCAAATCATAGCGACCCTATAGGACAGGGTAGAATTGCCCCCGTGAGTCCTCGAGAATATACTTGTCAACTGGAGTCAAAGCTCCATCCTTCTCCCCACAGAGCTGCTTGTGATTTTGAACTGTCGAACCTTTCGCGTCACAGTGCAACACATAACTACTATGCCTCCAGGGCTCCTGTGCATTATATTATATGTCCCTAAAACAAAACTGATTTGGTTATAGTACATGCATTTTTATACCTTTTTGAATCTATTTTATTTAGTTAAGAATGTTTACATTAATATTCACAAGGGACTTTGCTCTGCAGTTTTCTTTCTTTCTCTTTTGTATTCTCTATCATGTCTTGGAATCAGGATGATTCGAGTTTATAAAATAAATTGGGAATTGTTATTTTCTCTTATTTTTTCTAGAACACCCTGCATAAGAAATGTTTCTTTTCTTTAGAAATTTTGTAGAGTTTTCCACTGGCACCATCTAGGCTAGGCCTGGATATTTCATTTTCAGAATTTTTTAAATTACGAATTCAATTTCCTTAATTTTTATTCAGCTATTGACATGATCGATTCTATATACGTATACATACACTCACACACACATTTATTTGTTTGTTTATGGCAGCCTGGTTCAAAGGGCCCGCAGCAGAGGTGTGATGGCCCCAGTTAGGCACAAGTGCTTGTTCTGATGCTGCAGTTTGACCCCAGGCATAACAGGCAAGTGTGGTGGGTTCAAAGGCAGCAGGCAATTTCATATTTTTAAATATTTGGCAATACTTTGTGTTTTTCAAGAAATTGATGTATTTTTCTCGTTGTAAAATTTATGTATGTTGAATGGATCATATTATTCTCTTGTGGTTCTGGTGTGATACCCCCTTGTTTCATTCCTGTTACTGGTCATTGTATCTTCTCTTCTTATTTTTTCAATCTTGCTAGAAATGCGTGAATTTTCTAATTTCTTCAAAGAATAGCTCTTTTTCCAGTGATTTCAGCTTTTATTTTTGTTTTTATTTTAGTAATATCTGATCATGATTATTTTCTTCTGTCTTTTTGGAGTTTATTTTTTCACTCTTTTTCTAGATGTCTGGATAGAAAGCTAGAGAATTGACTTGAGACATTTCTCTTTCCAAATGTATACATCGATTGTAGATTTTCAACTGTAGTCCAAAAATTTAAGTATACCATGTTTTCAATTTTCTTTACTTCCGTGCTTTTCTTTTTTGTTTTTTGAGATACCCTTTTGATCCATGTAGGCATATTGTTTTGAGCCTCCCAAGTTTTGGGAAATTTTATATTATTAATTTCTCTTTAATTCCATTGTCCCCTGAGAACACACTCTGTGATTTCAATTCTTTTAAATTTGCTGAGGCTCATTTCATGGTCCATCTAGTATATGTTCCGTGAGTACTTACAAAGAGCATGCATTCCTTTGTTCTTATGTGGAATGTTTTATAAAAGGTGATGAGATTCTGTTGGTTGATAGTGTTCCAGATTTTATTCTTCCTATCAATTGTCAGAAAAGAATGAACAACTAAAATTGTGCGCGTGTCTTCTCCTTTTAATATCCATATTTTGCTTTATATATTTTGGAAATGTGCTGTTTGATTCATATACAAGGTCGTTTTTCTTCTTGGTGAATTGCCTCTTTTTAACACCGTGTTACATATTTTCTCACTCTCCTCTTTCATACATACACCTAAATACATACACACATACAGTCTGGTAATTTGTTTGGGCCTTAAAGCTTTTTTTGTTTTGTTTTTTTCATATTTATGTAAGCAGTCCTGCTTTCCTTATCGTTCCAATCCACCAGCAGCAGCACCTCGGGGAATGACAGGCTGATCCTCTTGTCTGAGAAGACCACTGGGGTCACGCTGAAGCAACTCTAAGTGCCTGGCTTTTGTTGGAGTCCTATTCATATATCTTATTTAATTTTTTACTTCCAGTCTTCTTAAATTATATTTAAAGCTAATTTCTTAGCATCAGTGTGACTGTGGTTGGCATTTTTGGTTTGTTTTCTTCTCATTCTGTCAATCTCTGGTTTGTAATAAACACATTTAGATCATTTACATATAATTATTAACACTATTAAAACATTAATGTTGTTATTAACTATTAACATGTTGTTGTTGTTGACTTTTGTTTGGGGCCATCTAGTCATTTCCAACCCACAGCATCCCTATACACAGCAGAACAAAGGCCTCCCTGCTTCCGTGCCATCCTCACAATTGTTCCTATGCTTCTGTCCTTTGTCATAGCCCCCAGCCAATCCCTCTGTTGCAGGAACTCCCTCTTCTTCACTGCCTCTTTACCAAGCATGGTGTCCTTCTTCAGGGAATTGCCTCTTCTCATAATATGTCCATGGTACAGAAGATGAAATCTTGCCGTTCTTGACTCTGACCATGCTTCTTCCATGAAAGATTCATTTGTCCTTTTGTCAGTCCTTGGTACTTTAAATATTCACCACCACAATTCAAATGCATCTAATCTCCTTGGTCTACTTATTCAATGTCCAACTTTCAGCTACAAATGACTCGATTGAAAATAACAGGCCTTGAGTCAGAGGCACTTTAGTCATCAAAGTAAGATCCTTGCTTTTCAACACTCTTAAGATAGCTTGGGCAACAATTTACCCAATGCATTGTTTCTTTTGATCCCTAACTGCTGCTTCCATGAGCATTGATTGTGAGTAAGTAAGACGGAGTAAGACGGAAATCCTGGACAACTTCACTTTTTTCCTCCGTTGATCATGGTGTTACCTATTAGTCCAGTTGTGAGGATTTGGGTCTTCTTCACATGGATTTGTAATTCACATATTAGTTCTAAAATATCCTGAATAGTTTTAATGTTTGTTTTTTCTACTGCCCTCCATGCTTTTATCTGTTTTCATTTTTCTGATGTCTGATAGATTACCTTTAAAAAAAGTTTACTTCTATTTTAATCTGTTTTTAGAAATTTTGTGCTCACCAATGGGATACTTTTTTCTTTGAATACCTTTCAGGCCTATCTATATTCTCCTCTCTTTTTTCCTTCTTTGTTGCCAATATTATGACATTTCAGTTACCTAGCTATTTCATGATTGAATAAAGAATTTGATTAACTATTGTGCTTCAGATTTGGAGTGGGTAACCACATGTGACAGAGAGTGGAAATGGAGCTGTCCTTTATTTCTTTGTACCTTCACACACCTGTAGTTTTGTAAGACTTTATTTCAGAAATATATACAGAAGCTATTATCTGTTCTCATGTATAAATCATTTGTTTAGTAAGGCAGTACAAGAGTATGGTTCTGCCAAGGTTTCCCCAAATACTGTCCATTGAAAAATGGTGGGATCACTTAATATCCTCTTCTGCATGACTTGTTGCTGTTGAGTGCTCTCAAGTCAATATGTGATTTTTATTCTAATCCATGCCATCTTAATTTCTAGCAAGGTAAAGACTTTATTTCAATAAGGAATTCTGCTGCTATGATGAATTTTTAAAACCATCAATCAAGTCTGATCTTATTTTATAAACGAGGAAATTGATAATGAGTTATGTCACTCTTCTCTTTAAAAAACATTTTAATAGTAAAATAAGCTAAATATTATTGAGGCTTACTATCCACCAAACTGAAAACACATACAAATTAAATATGCGAATGCTCTCTCAACCCCTACAATGATGTACTTTTATCATTCTACTTTTTCAGGCCAAAGGATAAAGTCAGAGTTGCTTTGTTTGAAAGCAGTTGACAAAACCCCAGGCATTTATGTCTCCCTGGCTCTTGCTCCTTCCCACATTATTCTTAAAAGGTTTAGCCGTATTAAAAAATGATCATTCTGGCTGCTCAGTGGAAATGAAAATTTAAAAAAAAGGAGAGCAAGGATATTCTCATGATCCAGAGAGGGAATCCATAGAGCTAAATCAGGACATCACAATGGAACGCTAAATGTTTGGTTAGATTTAAGATAAATTGTATACATAAAATCTACAGGATTATTTTATTAATATTCTGAAAAGCTCTTACTTAAGGATGAAATCAGTTGTCATAATGATTCAAACTCTTAGTGACCCCATCTGTGTCAGGGTAGAACTGTTATCTGGTGTTGTTAACTACTGACCCTTGTGAAGTCGATCACAAGGCCTTTCTGTTGAGGTACCTCAGAGTGGTCACCAATTCCCAATGTTTCAGTTAACTGTCAAGCATGTTAACTGGTTGCTCTGGTTACTACTAAGAGGTGACACCCAATTTTTAACTTACACACTTAGGAAAACAGTGATACTACTTATAGAAAGTGAAAATATTTGGAAATAAATCAATTTAAGGAAAGTTCTAAGAGTTCTAGTTAGGGCAGGATAGAGTGAAACTTACAGAGAACTAATACGTATTAGTTAGTTATTTCTCATTTTACATGAATTGAGTGTTACCATGTAATAGGTAATAGGGCTACAGCTATGGGAAAAAGAACTTTCTTGGCTTCATGGAGCTTACCGTGTATAAATAAATATAATATGAGCAGTGTGGATTTTAGAGTATAAGAAAATAAAAATGTAATAATCCAATCTTGAATGTGTATGCAAAGAAGTCATAAATGAAAGAGTTCATGAAGCTGGAACAAAAATACAGATATGTATAAGAACAGATAAAGGGAACATTTCCCAACAAGATGAAATCTTGCGTGCCAATGCCCAGAGAAAAGATGATATTGCAGTAATTGGGGAAATCCAAATAGCTTGGGATAGTTGATAGTAATGATGGATTTGATGAGAAGAAGATACGGAGTTAGGCAGAAATCAAATAACAAAGACCTTGTATTCCATGATAACACATGGTCTTCATTTAGAGGGGACAAATGATGGTTGCACTTTGAAACAAATCTAATTCCTCTTCTCTACACAATTATCTTCATTTAGAAAAGGAAGATGTGAGCAGATATAGAAAGCTGATCTGTGAAGGATATCTATGAATGATCAGAGATAGTCGATAAATGCTTTGGTATCCAGAAAGCTAAAAGATATTAAATGAAGTATAAAGCCAATGAGGAATTTAAAGTGGTGGTCAGGAAACTGATCTATAAAACAAGTATTATTAGAACACATTTTTATCGCCAAGAAGTGTGTGTGTGTGTGTGTGTGTGTGTGTAAGTTTGTGAGAGAGAAAGAGAGTGTGTGTGTATCTAGTATAATAGCAGAGTTGAGTTGTTGAGAGAGATCCCCCACCTAGCATAAAAATTTGAAAATAGTCACTATCTAGACCTTTACATTAAAAAGTTTGCCAACAATCTATTAACAGAGCATACAGAGTTGATTGAAAAGATGACCAAGTGTCCTAGTCAGAAGGTATTTGGTCATTCTGTGAGAACAGTTACAATGAAATATAGTAAAACAAAATCCACTACCACCAAGTAGATTTTGAATCATAGCAACCCTATATTGGGTCTCTGAGCCTGCAAATCTTTATGGAATCAAATTGCCTCAACTTTCTCTGATGTAGTAACTGGTGGGTTTGAATAATGGACTCTGAGGTTAATAATCTATCAGTTACCTAGCAGTACCACAAGGGCTACTTTGCAGTGAAACCAAACTACAACCACGCCCATTACCATTGAGCTGATTCCTACTCTTAACACTTTTTTAAAGACAGAGTAAAACTGCACCTGTGGTTTCTGAGATTGTCACTCTCTGTGAGAGTAGAAAGCCAAATTTTTTCTCCCATCCAATGAAACAGTAGGTGTTTAATATTTTTTTTAAATGAGGTAAGAG